AGTTGTTTGAGCGTGTGAATCAGAGAGTGCTTAAAATGGCGTGTGTTGGACTTTATATAGTGTGGACGGTTAGAGACATCCAATTACAACTGACGATGGACGATTCTCCAATGGCGAGGATTAGGTGCAGGTCTCCTAGTTTTGAGCACTCTGAGTCCTCAATTCCTTGACACATATGTTCATGGACCGAGCCTCGTCATGATTGAACTTTACTTCCCTTGAGTTTGTGGATAATTTGGAATAGTTTCCCCCAAGGTGTGTCATTGCGTATAAGTCTATTTTGTAAGTATGAGTCCTCAATGCCTTGACACCCACCATGTTCTTGGACTGAGCCTCTTCATGATTGGGATTTACTACCCTTGGGCCTGTGGTCAGCTCAGAGCAGTTTCCCCAAGGTCCGTCATTACATAGGAATGGAATGAATTTTCATAGTATCGGGTCGTTGTCCCAATCAATCGTGGTCCTTGTGACTGATTCCTATATTGTAGAAGTGGAAAGGCTTAGTGAGTGGGAGCAGGTAACCTTGGGAGTACGCACATTAAATGCAATTATTTTTACAAAATCATTTCGCAAGAACGTTGTACCATGTGGCCCTAGATTCCTAAGGTAGGGTGTGATGCTACACTTTAGGCTGCCTAAGTGAACTTTAGTTTCACGTCTTCACATATGTGGATCTATATGATTGCAAATATTGTCAAGGTGATCCAATTTGGGGAAGGTTGTTAATAGCAAAGTTGCAGTCAACTGATTAGCTGTTTGGTTTTGATGATGATAATACCTAACATTAAATGATATCCAATGAAGTCCTTATCTATTGAAGATAGCTAAAGCATCGAAGATGCTAAAGATGTTTTTATCAAGGTATTCTCTTGAATTAAGCTATCATTTGAAGATGTTATTAAAGATCAAGTAATCTCTTTGAAGGTTCATCGATGATTTGACCTGTCAACTTAGTTGATGGTAATAAATGTGAAGATATATCAAGCCTCATTAAGTAGAGTCAAGGTTCTTGTGTGGTACTAATTCAAAAATAATGATGTCAAGAATTGAAGCTTCAAAGTTGTGAAATAGAGGAAATGTGAAAGCTCGCTTGGTCGTGTCTGTCTAAGTGACCAGTGTATTGTAAAGGCACAAGGGTACTTTTGGAAATACAATGGAAAAACCACAACACATGCACGCATGCACGCACACACACGCATAAACACACAAACACACACACACACACATGCGCGCACGCACAGACACATATGTACGCACATTCACACGCACACACGCATGCACGCACTCGCACGCACACACGCATGCACACGTGCATGCACACATACGCGCACACACACACACAATTGCACACGCACGCGCATGTACGCAGGCGTACACATGCACACACCCATGCACACACTCTCTCTCTCACATGTACACGCGCGCGCAGACTCTCTCTCACACACACAAAGACCTAGTTAACTGATTAGGGGATTACATGATCAATTAAATAATTTTTTACAACTGGATGATCGATTAACCATAATCATCTAATCGATTATTTTCACTTGGTTGAGTCTAAAATCAATTGGGACAGTCTCTTAATGATTGATAATTACTAAATTTCAAAATCTTTAATTTTTGGTTTGAACAATCGATTATTAAGGGTCAATAATCGATTGGCCAAATAAATTATAGCATTCTTTTCACGAATGGACTGTTTCCAAATTTAACTCACAATCTGACATATAAATAGAGAGTTTTGTGTATAAATACAATTATGAAAGAGTTTTTAGGTACACTAACTCTAATCTCCATTATGATTGTAACTTCTGTTTAGATATGTTTTGTATAATGTCAAAATTAGAAGAAACTTTAGTTTTTTTGTACATTTGATGGTATCCTCTGATTCTGGGTATGCATTGTGCATTTTAGCATTAGGAAGCATGTCAACATGTTTAAAAATGGTTTTGAAAGGATTCTTGCATTAAAAAATGGTCATGAAAGGTTTCATGCATCAAAAATTAAGTTTTTGTGTGAAAAATACTGTATAGGTTGACACATACGACTTTAGGTCGACCTATAAAAGTTTTTCTTCAGCTCAGGTTGACACATTGATTGTATAGATCGACACATATACTTTAATATTGAAGCATGTAGGCTTTGTCCATGTGATAACTGTTTTAGATCGACTCAATCTTTATAGGTCGACACATACCCTTTATTTCATTATTATTATTATTATATATATATATATATATATATATATATATATATATATATATATATATATATATTTGATACATGCATAATTTCTAATAAAATTTTAGAGTAAATCTATACGAAATTGAAATTTCAAAACATTCTTATCATCTTCAAAATAGAAGATGAAACAAAGTGCAGAGGAGTTGCAAGAATAGGTAAAGGTGGTGGTATAGTGGGAGGAGTTTTCAGTGTGGCCATAAATCTTTTAGGCTATATAATACAAGTAAGACGGGGAGAAAAGTATTTAATTCCTTTGAATTCTTTTATTATGAAAACTGAGTTAGTTGTAATGAGGATTAGAAACATATATCTAGCGTAATTCTGGGTGCACTTGATGTGACAAAAGAATATAGAGGAAGCTTTTATAAAAGTTAATGGAATAGCTAAAATTATAAATGGTTAATAGATATTTGTGAGCTTTGAAAAATGTTGTAAATAAAAAGTTTGGAATTCTTCCTCATATGAAGATTCAATATTTTTAATCGTCAAGATGAATCAGCTGAATTTTTGACAATCTATAATATTTTATTATTTTTCAATTAAAATAAAAGTCAGGTGGCATTTGTTTGTGGTTAAAAAGTATTTTTTTTCAAAGAACCTTAATTAATCCATAGTAAATACACTAATTAACCCACACTAAAGTCACTAATTATTTATAAGAATTACTGTGTGAATAGAGAAAACCCTTATTAAAGGGTCATCTTCATCAACCACCCCTCGTTCATCACCTCTCACCCATCATCTTCATCGTTTTCATCTGGTTATACTCGTTAATCACCTCTCACACAACATAGGTTTCGTGTTCCAGTTTCGTCTTCCACTCTTTCTATCTTTTCCAGTTTCATGAAAATAGCAGCAACCTCGAACTCAAGCATGCTCTCAAATGGAAGAATTACTCCCAAATGTGGACACATCCTCTCTATGAAGTTTTTTCCCGAAGTCCAGTACAAACCCATTGAGAAAATATTAAAAGTGCAGATACGAGGGTTATATATCTTATATCTTTCTTTTTTCTTCTCTATGATTTCTACCTATTATCCTTCTAATTATAGTGTAATATTGATTTCTAAGCGCAGTTGGACATTATGCATATTTCTCATACATGCCACTTTGGTTGTATGCAGTATATTTGACCAAAAATATATTAGACAAATTTGACAGAAAGCATTAGACAATATGCATTAATAACTAAGTTAAGCATTCACTTGGTGCAATACAAAATGTTCCAAAACACGCATCACTTATACATTTGCCTATAAATCTCTTCCCATGATTTCATTTATTCACACAAGAACCTAACTTAGGATCGTGATTAGAATTACCAGGAGATTCATCAACTGTGCTATCAACTTCTAATGATGGGATCATGATTGGAATTACCAGGAGATTCATCAACTTCTAATGATGCAGGTGCAATTGATCCTGAGCCATCAATTAGTGTATTTATTGCGGGTCAATTAGGGTTCTTTGAAAAATTATTTTTTAACCACAAACATATGTCACCTGACTTTTATTTTAATTGAAAATTAATAAAATATTACAGATTGTCAAAGATTAAGCCGATTGGTCTTAATGAGTGACTAAAAATAGAGAATCTTCATGTGTTTAGATATATAATCCAAACTCTTTTTTTAGGAGCTTTTCAAAAACTCACCCACATAAAAGGGGGCAAACACCTATTAACTCAACTATATATCATACAAGGACTAACACAAATTTCAGAGATGTAATGGTGAAGGTGGAAAGTGGAGAATAGGAAATGATACAAAGGTAAACATTTGGAATGATAACGGACTGAGTACTAGAGGGGTTAAAAGTCACGAAAAGATTCTCCATCATGATGCTCTTGTGAGTGCTCTTATTGATCAAGACACCCAACAATGGGATAGAGATTTGACCTTCTCCATTTTTAATCATTTCAAAGCAACGCTATTTTAAGTATCCGCCCTCTCCCTTAGGCTTCTGGAAGACTCCTTCATGCAGTTTAAGAAAGGGATGGCATGTATCCAGTTCACTCAGCTTATCATCAGTTTGGTGATGAAAGGAAAGATTTACTGGGTTCATCTCATATTTCTATCGACAATTTATGGATGGATATTTGGCGAAAAGTTTCAGGTTTTAATCCTGACGGATGGAGGTGCGAGATTCAAACATTCATAATTATTGAGGAAAGCATTTACTCATCCACATTGGCTAAACTGCAACTATTTTGATAATTACAATCGTTAACGTGGTATTACAATTTGATTTCATCTGTACATCTCAATATCAACATCCTGTAAGTGTCTATAAAAAAATTTACACAAACCAAAAAATCAGATCTTTCAACAATAATTCAAAATTTCAAGCTTCCTTTACACATGCTCCTCGCAAGCCAAGCCAACACACCAACTCCTCGCAGAAAAAAAAAACAAAAAAATTTCATCGAACGCATTGTGTTTCTCTTGTCAAGAGAAAGTTCCAACCTTTCCAAGTAACCCAAGCAATGACCAGCTTAGTTTCTCCAAACTTATATGTCATAGGTTATGCCAAAGGTTGCAGGAACGGGTCTTCAAAATTCAAAGGTTGCGGGAACGGGTCTTCAAAATTCAAAGGGTTGCAGCTGCATAACAAATAATGCGGGGAGCTAGATGTACTGCAAAAATTTGGCAGGCCAAATGCAGCAGTTATATTGAAAGCGCCACCTAACAAGGTTAAATTCCATGACTCATACTGCAATCAAGATCCTAACCGAACTAACACTCCGTGCAACTTCCTTACTTCCTACTTGGTCGACCAGTTTCATAATTTTGAGAAGATGAATGACCGTATGATCTCCAAACCTCTCTCCAGTGTCTTCTGTTGGATTGGTCAGATGGGCAATACTGATTCTCCATATTATTTCTACCCATATTTACAGGGCGTCGCTTTTGGAAATTTCTCATTTCTACTTCTGCATCATACCGTGCGCGCTGCAAAAATAGAATAGCAACCAAATGAATACATCGATTAATTTGCTAGAGCTTGAAAAACTTGAAGGACCTCTTGAGCACTTAAACAAGATCAATTCTCATATTTATTGGGGGTTAAACACACACAAACGAGTAAGGAGAAGGAAAGCAGTCTTTAATTCCTTATTTGCTAGGTAGAAGCTTCTGATAGAAGGTCAATAGAAGCAGTTATTGCCTTAATTTTAAGACACAGAAACTTCTCATATAGTAATATCAACATGTCAACAGCTACAAATCCTTATTCACCACTAGAGTTCCCGATTAGCTCCACGCTCTGAAGCATTGGTACTTCTAAAATTGTGAAGTACTAGTAATGGGTATGTGGGTATCAAGTACATGTGGTACTTCTAAAATTGTGAAGTACTAGTAGTGGGTATGTGGGTACAGAGTACACATACCATACTTGTGATACTTCATTTTTTTCTTTATTCTAACCTAAAGTGAAATTTGAAGCTTTTTTTTTTTATATATTAACATAATATAGTTATGTAATTTAGTTTCTTTTTGATAGTAACTTAACACTATTTTTTATTTTTTAAACTTTTGTTGTGGTGTTCTATTATGATTTAAACATTTGTTGTGGTGTTTTATAGATACACCCGTACCTTTTTTTTCAAAATGTCATATCCAGTAACAGTACCGGTACCCATAACTGGTACCGTACCGTACCTATACATCACATAGGCTCCATGGGACAATTGAAGCCATTGGGATCCAACATTTGTAAAACTATATAAAGCAATCATCTCATCAGCCTTGTTAATTGAAATTAAATAAAATACCTTTGCAGGGTCTGACAGGACAGCATATGCCTCTCCAATTATTTTAAAAAGCCTATCAGCATCTCTATGTACTTCCTCAGCAATAACCCTCCATATCCCATCATCTCCATTGTCATTTTTTGTCAAAGACTGGCATGCCTACAGCATAAAATAAAATGTTTAAAAAGTTATTAACATTATCATTATCTAACTAAGTTTCCAATCAAACAACCTTGTCCGGATGATGTTTAAGTGCAGCTTTCCGATAGGCCTTCTTGATTTCAGATATTGAAACAGATGGTTCAACTCCCCTGCCATCATAATGTCAATCAGCTCATAACCTTAAACCTATATAATGCTATATTCCTCTAAATTAAGAATAGAGAAGTTACAACATTATGCTTTCTCACCCATACTTAAAGCACAACTCACATGAAATGATGACAATTATAAAATGGTATAGCATCAAAATAAATCTTTGTGATCTACCATGTTCTTTTACAGGATAACAGTACATAATAAGTTAACAACATTTAATGATTTCTTTGGGAGTCCACCAAGTATCACAAGTAAGCAATACATGTCTGACAGCTCATTAAGGTACCGGTACCTTTAGAAAAGTACATTTGGTTACTTACAAATGTATAATTTTCAGTTGAAATCTCTATTAAGTTGTAGGCGATTCCTGTTTATTAAATATGTTATGTTACATGACAATCGTGTTTTTTAAAATTAGTGTACACAAGACAACCAGTGTATGCATAATGCATTATCTATTGTTTTCCATCAGTGTATGCATAATGCATTATCTATTGTTTTCCATCAGTGTATGCATAATGCATTATCTATTGTTTTCCATCAGTGCATGCTTTGAGGTAATCAATATTCTAATTAGAGTTTAACTATCACCCACCGACAACGAGGAGTTAAAATGTACACTATTGACGAACCATTGAGTGCCACCTATTTAAAGAAAATTTAAACTTCACAGCAATGATGCGCCACTTTCTTTATAGATTGTTTTTGCAAAATGGATTAAATATTTATAAACCAACATAAAGGTTTCCCATATTGACCTTTTTCTAATAGTAATTTTTGGATTCTGGATGTGTATTTGGGGATTAATTACCTAAATGTAGTCTTTGAATAGTAACAGATCCATCCCTTCCATTTCATGAGTCAATATTTAGTCCTGAACTATTAAGCTTATGAATCCTAATTCAGTCACAAATTCTGACCTGAATTTTATTTAGTTTCTGACCCTAGATATTGAAAAATGAATCATTAAAGTTCAGGAACCAAAAAAAGGAAGATTATGATTTATGAAACCTTTGCTTTATGTCTGAAAATTTCCAATATCAACCTCCTAATAGATTGTGTACAGTTTTAACATAGAAATACACACAAAAGTAGAATTGATGGTGACTGGTAATTTTGAGAAAAACTATTTTTGCCTGCTTCTAAAATGATGTTAATTGGTCAGTTATAATGATAGGATAAAGGAGTACTAACAACTTACAAAATAAGATACATATCAAGAGGGATCTCCTTTCTGTCTTCTTCTTCTAGTTCAGAGAGCCGAATGTGATATTGTTTCAAATCATTGGTATAATTAATTGATCTATCAGATGTTCCTTTATGATTGGCATTATCCTCAAGCCCCTTACTAAGAAGAGAGAGAAGTCTTCTAAGATCATTGGCTGCTTGGGAATAATCTCTGATCATCTCGTACAGACCTGCACGTCTAGAAAGTGCCTGCGAGAGTGTGAAAACATATTTCTCATTGTCCTGTGCTATTGAAATCCTAAATAAAGCAATTCTTCAAACAGAAAAGGAATGAACAACAGGGTTTTAAATTTCTAAACAGAAAGTTCGCAAGAACACAATGGTGACATCTATAACAATCAGCTATCGGTTGAATATGAATAATGCTCATCAAACTAGGCAACATGTTATTCCTAGTTTCTATATTTAACCTGAACCCATCTGATAAAGATACAAGATCTTCAAAAAAAAAGGAAGGAGATTCAGTTGAAGAGAAAAACCTTCAAATAATTTCCATCAAGAGCTATAGCCAGACTGCAATCTGCAATAGCATCGGTTATTTGACCTAACACTTTATATGCAGCGGCGCGATTACAATAACAGACAGCTGCAAATGGACGAGACTCCAAATTACAAGATAAAACAGATGTATAGTGTTCAACAGCTTCTGCGTGTCGTCCAGCCTGATATGCTTCATTACCTGCGGTCTACATTTGAATAGATTTACCTCAATTCCAATGAAACACAATTTCTAAGTTACAGAAAACAGGGCAAACTGAATTATACTTATGAATATTTCTTAGAATACAATGCAACATCGATGAGACAAGTGATTTTTTTCAGGTGCCTTTTGATGGAAGAGAAGTTGTATTAGAAAAGAGTAGATAAGCACAACGGAAGAGGATAAATTATTGGGTTAAGGAAAACTAGAAAACATTACTGAGCAGTATGCTTAATGGTTATTGGGAAAGGCTTGCACAAATTATACTAATATTAATCCTAACTCCTCAGTACTGATAAAATATACACAGGTAACCCAAGTGTTTGTGTTTTTTAAACTGAAAAAGTAGTCTGCTTTGAAAATAAGTGATATTATAAGAATATACTTATTTTGAAAGCATGCCAATATACAACCAAAAACAATCAAATTGGTGTCTTAGGAATCCCATTCTATTATAGAAGCATCTTTCTCCAGGCTTTATTTAATGCTACAAGTTCAAAGAGTAGAGCATATGTGCACAACAATTGTCACCAAAAGCAACAGCATGCACAACCAGTAGAAGTAATTTGATTGCAAATGAACAGATTTACAATGCTAAAGTTGATGTCTCTTGCAAAACCTATTTTAAAGGTTGGTTAAAACCTTAAAATATTGGCTGCAAAACTGCACATAAGAAAGAAAAAGAAAGAACAACTACTTTTAACAAAGGAAGTGTTATATGCATTAAGCAGAAAAAGTACTCTACTTTTAACAACAGAAATGTTCTACGCATTAAGCAAACAAATATGATAATGTACCTGGTCGCCATTAAAAAATCATGAAACATTGTATAAGCTAACCTTATGATGCAAAAGCTCGCGTACAGTGGCAGCTAGTGGTATAAGTGACCCCAAAACCTTGCTTCCACTCCTGCAAGGACAGTATCAAAACTGATGATAAATATTCATTTTTCTTTTTCTACTTTCCCCTGGGAAGGGAAGAGGAGGGTGAATGGTTATAGGATAGTAATGATTACTTGTTTATGGATGACACCTTTTCCTCTTGTTGTTCCAGCAAAGAAAGACCTTCTTCAAGCTTTCCTAGGTGAAAATAGGCTTTAAGCATAATTGAACACCTCCATAGTCTGAAGTAGAAGATTTTTGAGAGTTCTGAATCATCCAGAAACGTGACTTGGCAACCAGAAGCCATTGGACAAGCATTCTTCTCAGCTGAACTAAAGGTCTCGTCACACAGCTGAATCCCCTCCTCATATCTACAAAGCTGGTATATGAAACAAAAGTTGTCTTACCCAGAATCAATTGGTATAAATTACAACACTGAAATGCAGACTCTTACATGTTAGATTTAGAGAGTTTGAGAGAAATAAAGAAAATGCTCTAAACAGACTAAGTGCCCATTTGTTACAGCTTTTATAGAAAATGATTTTTAAAGTGTACCATATTTTTTGTTTAAAAAAATTTTAACAGAGAATTTAATAAAAAAAGGCTCAAATGAAATATTGGTTTAAATAACTTCTCGTAAGATTATTTTAAATATTTCATCTATTTGCTACGACTTTGTTTGGATGATAAAAGTTTCAAAATGCTTAAAATGAGAAACTATTTTAAGAGATATCTTTTTGAACAAATATGTGGCTTTTATTATGTCAAAATCTCTAACAATGAATATCTAAGTTACTAAATGTCAAAACTACTCTTTTAATTTATAACAGATGAGTTTGAGATAATTTTAGAAATATTAAAGTTAAAATCACTTTTTATTGAACTCTAACATACGGGCTCTAAGAAAGTTGGCATAACTAATTCTAACTGAACTGTTGCTTCAGTAATAGTGGAGTAGAACAAATTCTAACTGGCTTGTATACTATTAGACATGATATAAGCTCGAGTGAAATTGTAGCAAACTATAAGAATGAGCTACCAACCATTAAAAGAGCCTCTGCTTTCATTTCAAGCAACTTTTCAGAGTACATGCTGATCATCAATGCCTCGTTAATATGTTCCAATGCCCTCTCTGTTTCAGAGGACGTTCTTCTTTGCAAAAGCTCAGCAGAATGATAAATGAAATCTGATACTTTCTGTCAACAAGTGAAAAGACTAATCAGTTTCGAAGATGGAGTGGACATAACACCACAACCAGTTAAAAAATTGTGAATTCAGAAAACTCTAGATTTTGTGAAAGAGAATAAAGAAGAAAATGCAAAATTAACACGTCAATCAAGCAATAGACTGTTGTTGCACAAAAGAAAGAAACATACAATCTCCAATCTCTCTCTCTTCCTTACCTTTCTATATTTGCAAGGCTTCATTCAGACATAATATTTCAATATTTTCAGTATAAAAATAATTCCAATAATTTTAGAAACATAAACCAGAGACTTTTTTTTTTTAAACTTTTCATAATTTTCTCATTGAAGGCTAATATAATACAATACCAAATCAGTCCAGTGTAAGATGTTTTCAATATTAATTTAACGCACATGCAGCAATGCATATCTCTAATTAAAAATCTTTAACCAAAAGGAAACGTTAGTAGTTAAAGCTTCAGTAAATAAAGTAAGTATTACAAATAATTACAGATAATCAAACCTGTGCCTTTTGTAAGCCATCGGAGGCTTCCACAGCAATTTTTCGATCTACAGAAACATCAGTTCCTGATTGCAAGCACCGTTTGAAATATAGTGACGCACCTTCAACTTCTCCCAAAGCAAGATAACAACTTAAACAAGAATGAAAACAAAATGACTTAAGGCATACACCAATTAATCTTGATGCTTAAAATTAGACTCATGAATTGCGGACATGCAAGTTGCTAGACACTGACATATTTACATACTAATGTATTATAATTACAAGTAAAATATAGTCTTCAAATCTTTGAATATAATCAGACATTAAGTGCTAGAATCCAATATAGTCAAACTCAAATTTCCAGAGGGATAAGAGTACTCTTTATGGATCCACTACTTCTCTACAACACAAATCATTGATCCCACTGTCTGTTCATATAAAAAAATAGCCACCAATTTTAGAATGCCTTCTTACCTACCCTACTTAGTTAACTTCAACTATACCTAACAATCCTAATGCAACTATTTTCTACACGAGAAAACCCCAGGGCTGTTATATTTAATATAAATTCATACAATTAAATGCTGCAAATAATAAGATTAGAATAAAAAATGGAAACTTACTTTGCAGCTCTAAGTTGCACCTTGAGGAAGTTTTGATCTATTTCAGCAGCCAGCCTACAATCTTCTATTGCATCTCTCATCCTACCAAGAGACATGTGTGTAGCAGCCAGGTTGCTATAACATAGCAGCAAAGCCCTGAGACAGCTCCGAGATGTTTGTTCTTTAGATACACAACTAAGTCCTTGTTTGTAACTATTCTCCGCCATAGACAAATCCCCGTTCTTGTAGGCTTGGTTTCCTCTGATTTAGAGCACATTTCGCATTGTGAGAACAGTTGCAATGTTTGTAGAGTATTGAGCCAAAATCAAAGGAACTATTTTTAAAAGTTAACTTAGTGAGCAAACTCCTTTTTTTCGTTTTTACCTAAATATTTATAACTGCACTCTATTTTATTTTATTTTTACATATCAGAAGCAATTGTAAAAAGTCAGGACTTGTAATCCAGAACAACAAAAACTAAGCATATAATGAGCAAGTGACTGCAAACATGGTATTAGAATTAAAACTAAAATATACTCACCGGAGGCGCCACTTTTCACAGGCTTCAGCAGAAGCAGAAGCCTCCCTTGATCCATGCTCCTCATTCACATCAGAACCCCTAATTTTGGGTTGAGGAAAAGACACTTTGGCTTTTATGTCTTGCCCTGACACAATAAGAGGCTTTCCAGAAACCACTGAAAATGGTACTGATGATGATGAATAAGGAACCTTCATGTTTGGCGCGTAGTTGAAAGAATCATGACCAACATTTACCCAATTTTTCTTTTTGTTGTGACGTTTTGGGCTAGACAATTGAGTTTCAGCAGAAGAAGCGGCAGCAAAGGTGAAGCCAGACTCACTCACGCTTCCATTTCTCATACTGAAACTACCATCCAGATTCAACATTTTATCACCATCAGAGGCTTCAGTTTCTGCATCATTAATTTGGTCCACACTATCACTAGCAGATTTAAAGCTTTCAGTTTCAATCCCAGAAACAGACTCATCCTTTGTCTCTTCATCAACACTAATATATTCATGTGTATCACACTCTGACTTTCCCTCCTTTGTATCTTCACACGCAACTTCACTACTTTCATTTATATTCATGTTCTGAGTTGCCCCAATCAAATCTTCATCAATGTGATCAACAAAATTCATTGCTTCATTATCATTAGTGTCAACACCAAATGACTCATTGGATATCACTGAACTTTCCCTAGAGGTTCGATTCTCAGCCAGTTTTTCGTGATAAGGAGAGACCTCCATAGGCGAACAAGTCTCTGAAGAACCTTGAGGATGATCTTGTTGTGGAACACTTCCTTTAAAAACAAAACCATGCCCACTCCAAGGCTGTACTGGTGCAGAATGCTTCAAATTCACTATATTTTTTTTCATTCTCACATTGCCACTTTTTTCCTTCACCTTTCCTTCTTTGCCACCAATCTTCGATGCATGTGTTTTAAACTCAACAAAAGGGGACCCTGAAGCTTCTGGTTTACTCTGAAAAACAAATTGATCCTTTTTACTTACTTCAAAAGGTTGAAATAACACAGAAGCTGAAGCTGAACCCGCCGACGATGATGGCATTGCAGAAGAATTGCATAAATTAGGTTCAACATTCTGGTCAACTAGGTTAAACTTGCTGCTCATTACATCATTCACATTCAGATTATTCAATTGCCAAATAACAGAATTAGCCGAATTTTCATCACTAACAGCATTGTTACCTCGTTCATTTTTCTCAGTTTCTTTAATATTGAGTTTCTTCTGCAACTCGGCTCCGAGTTCCGATTCAACACGGACCTTATCAAAACCGCCTTGATTTTCCGTTACAATCTTCAACTTACTCATCATCTCCTCGGGAAGGTCGCTTCCGTCAGCGTTCACGAAACCCTCGCTTCCGATTTTAAGATTCCTCAATCGATCACTGATCCGTTTATCGAAATTCAAAGCGGAATCGAGCTTATCGGATCCAACGAAGGTTACGGCGGCATTGGCGACAGAGCCGTCGCGATTGAAGGCGGAGGCATTGTTGTGTTTACGAATCTTAACGAAACGCGGCTTGGAAAGGCCGGAAGAAACGGAAGGGGCGGTGAAGGTGAAAGCTGACGTGGAACCGGGGTAGGCGTTGGAAAACCTATCGTCGCCGGAATTCGACGGTTCCATTGATCGTTGAATCGGTAATGGGGAGATCGTGTTTGTTCCGAATTGGAGTATTCTTATTCCTAATATTATTCATCGATTATTCTCAGTTTCTGCAATCATTGAAAATGAAAAAGGGAAAAAAATGTATTTTTTCCAGTTCTGCAACAAAATATATGTTATTTTGTGATTGGTCTAATTTAAATTTTTTTATACACCTATAATTCTTTTTCTACATTTGACTTGACATTATAAGGTTTTTTATTTGTGGAAATTGAAAGGATCGTGGCTTTTGTTTTTCCCCTCTTAAATTTTACTAGACTTGTGATATTTATTACAACTGAACTAGAGAATATGAGAGAGAGAAAAACAATTCATGCATTTAAATAATATCATTTTATATATACATTTATAACGTATTCCGATATTACAAATTGATTGTTAATTATTATAAGTATAATTAACAATTTTTTTTCTCCTATATGGGAATATAAGGTTCCTATGGATATTGTGGAAACTTTACCCCATACCCCTACACTTGTACCCACACCCCTACATTAAAAAATATTAGACCAAAATATCCTTGTTTAAATATCTATAATTTTGAAAAATTTTCATTTTTCCTTCATTCCCAAACACAAAGACATCCGGAAGCTCTCTTTCTTTTAACAAACCGGAAGACTTCAACCAAGACATCCGGAAACCATTTTTGATCAAATACATACAGGAACACTACAAGTAAGTCATCCGGTTTGTAATTTTTTTTTCATCTTCACCAAAAGACTTAACGAATGTCTTCCGGTTTGTAAACTTGTTGATTTTGTCTTCCGGAACTCTTTCCTAAAGACTTTCGGTACACGCGAATTGGATTTTCTTCACCGGAACTCTTTTTAAAAGACATCCGGTACAGACCAAAAACTATTTTTCTCACCGGAACACACTCCTGAAGACTTCCGGTGTATTGTTTTTTTTTTAATTTTTTTTTCTACGTATTTATTTTTTTTCTACTTATTTATTTTTTTTCTACTTATTTAATTTTTTTTCTACTTATTTATTTAATTTTTTTCTACTTATTTAATTTTTTTTCTACTTATTTATTTACTTTTTTTCTACTTATTTATTTATTTATTTTTTAATTTTTAATTATATTTTTTTCCAGTGGTGCGCACACGAGGCAGAGATGGTAGGATCCCTCATGGAGTAGGACGGGGTGAGTCATCGAGAATGGCTGAAGAAGAGCATTTTGATGCATCTGCATCAGCATCTGCATCCGAGCCGGTTGGATATCCAGGAGGACCGTCTGATACATCTCTGTTAGTTAAATACGAACAGCATATTGAAAACCGTATATGGTTCGGTCAGGTAAGAAAACGAAAATTATTTAATATTCAATAGAATTCAAATTTTTAATTGTTTTAATTGTTTTCAGGAGAGAGGGTCGAAAAAAGAGTTAAAGGTAGCGGGGCATGGATTGAAGTTGATGCAGAGGGTTCCACTACAGCTACCCAGAGAGATGGAGGGCTGGATATCTAGGTCTGGTCTAGCTTCACTCCAGAGAACTAGTTTAACAAAGATAGACACAAACCTAGTTTCAGCATTTGTAGAGAGATGACATCTAAAGACATCTTCATTTCACATGCCGTTTGGTGAGATGACGATTACTCTAGATGACGTTTCTTGTCTGCTTCACTTGCCCATCAGGGGAGTCTTCTGGAGTCCTCAAGATATTAGTGAAGCGCTTGATGTTGAGTGGGCTGTTCAATATTTAGGAGTGTCACGAAGAGTAATACAACAACAAATCCGTGAATGCAGGGGTTCCTGCTATAAGCTGGAGTGGTTATATGATCTGTTCGTAGAGCACAGAGCTGCATCTAGATGGGATTATGCCACTAGAGCTTATTTGCTGATGTTAGTGGGTTCCACTATTTTCGTGGACAAGTCGTTTACTCTTGTCGAGGCACGATACCTGTCACTGTTTATAGACTTGGATGGCTTACCAGGATACAGTTGGGGAGCAGCTGCATTGGTTACTCTTTACAGATATCTCGGAGATGCTTCTATGTTCAGCTGTAAGCAGCTTGGTGGTTATCCGACTCTCCTACAGGTATTTATTTTAATGTAGTATATTTTATTTATCTCGTTTATTATGTTATAATTAATTATTTTAAATTTAGTAACCATATTAATTTTGTAACAGTGTTGGATTCATGAGTATTTTCCAACGCTTGGAAAAAAAGGAGAGAACTGGATGCCAGCTAATAATGTGGGTCTCCCTCGAGCGATGAGATGGTCCTATAGGCAAGGTTCGTTGAAGGTGGATGACTTGCGGCCAATTTTGGACGAGCTGACACCTGCTGACGTCATATGGCGCCTGTAATACCCCAAATTTTGCCCTAAGAATTGTCGTCGCATTTCATTGCATTTTTCTTGCATTTAATCAATTACTAACAAATTTGTGTAGTCGTTTGACTTTTTGCAGGTAAATATCATATGACATGCATTTTTTTTCTAAAAAATAAAAATGGCACAATTGGCAAGAGGACATGTGTAAGGAGTTGTGAGTGTGAGAGGTGTTGCCTTGTTGAAAAGGGGGTCAGAAGGTTTTCTTCAGAAAAGAGGAGAGAGAAAGGGAGAAACAAAGGAGATCCCCAGAGAAGAAAGGCGGTCGTTCCCACAACTCGTCAGAAGGATTGGAGCTCTCCAGTATTCCCTTATTCAAACCTTTTTCACATTTACCGAAGCAAACCTCCGCTTCGTAGGTTAAATTACTAAACCTTTTGCCTTTTCATGTTTATGTGCATATTTTGCCATGTTAATGTGTTTAGGTCCGTTAAATTACTAAACCTTTTGCTTTTTCATGTTTATGTGCATATTTTGCCATGTTAATCTCCATGTGTGTTTAGGTCTCTAGATTTTAATATCAAAACCCTTTTTTAACAAAACCTTTTTTTAAAATCAAAACCCTTTTTTTTATTTATTATTAAAACCTTTTTTTTAGTAAGACCTTTTTTAAAAACTGAAAAGCCTTTTTCTTCCCAAGAAGAAAAAAAACCTTTTTGTTCCCAAAAACCTTTTCCCAAAAAAACTGAAAAGCCTTTTCCCAAAAAACTGAAAAGTCTTTTTTTGGGATGAAAAGCCTTTTTTGTTCTAAAAAACTGAAAAGACTTTTCCTCCCAAAAAACTTTTTTTATAATTTAAACTTAATTTTTTTTTATAATTTTAACTTAAATATTTTTTATTAAAAAATTAAAACCTTTTTTTTATAATTAAAATATTAAAAAAATTAAAACCTTTTTTTTATAATTAAAATATTAAAAAAAATTAAAACCTTTTCGTAAGGAACTCCTAATGTTTGATGTTTGTCGTGTCATTTTATGTACCTTTTATTACTTTTCTTTCTTTGGGCATTTCATGTGCATGCTCGAGGTTGAGATGTGCTTGTGGTGGCCACAGCCCCACACTATTTTCCTCCCTCACTTCATTCTAAGTGTCATTACATATTTTCATATTCTTCATGTTTTCAGAAATGTTTCTTTGTTTCTTTATACCCTCTGCCTTTATTACTTTTCTTATTTTTGTACCTTAATTATTCCTCCATATAATGATTTGTCATATTTTCACATTTTTTTACAGTTTTATCCTTCCGAAGGATTAGGTCCAGCCTTTTGGCCGCCGAGTCAATAGCCTTACCCCTTTAATGGATCAAACCCTGTTTAGCCTAGGTGTCCCGCCGTGGGCAAAATTGCTTTTATCCTAGTGTTAGGCCCAAAAGAGTCGCCGTACTCTGTTTTAAGGTTTTCCGCCGTGGAATCCCTAACCTAACCCTAATGCACTTAACAATTTACAACGTAGATATTAGAGTTTCTACACTCCGCGTAAGCGTGTCCCTAAGATACGTTTATTCCCCATTGAAACCTTGGCCACAGTCAAGACGTTTCTAACCTCCCTTTTGAGGGGAACTACAGTTACTCTGATTCCATTCCCGTAAGGATATGTAGGCACAAGATGCGATGTCTTGCCGAGTAAACTTAGAATTAACCCCTAGGTCTTTTTTAATTTTCAATCCTTTGTATATACCCTAAAGCAAAATAATTAATGAAATAAATAAAAAAAATAAACAAAAGGTTCCCGTAGAGTACTACGGAAGTTTATGGTGCTAATACCTTCCCTAAATTTAACCAACCCCCGAACCTTAGATCTCTCCCTTTTAGGTTTTTCCTTTCTTTAACCTTTCCTTCGGATAAATCAAAGACCGGTTGTAAATGAATTAAGATTCAAGTTAATCAATAGCTTGACATCCAAATTTCACCGCAACAGCGCCCATTCGAGAATCATAGAGTATGGTGTCAGTTTGATGAGCTATGTCTATATAGGGGGTGTCTGAGGTGGGGTGACACTGTTGTTCCATATTTGCCTAACAGATGTATGCGTCAGTTTGGATACCGACAGTATATTCCACATCCACCTCTAGATCATACGATGGCTGGTGATATTGATGTTGACTGGATTAGTTACCATCAGAGCGTTCAGAATGTGATTCGTCCGACAACACCGGCCACCACCCCATATGAGACAGATGATGGATATCTTGAGTGGTACTATCGTGTCTCTCATCCTCGTCTGGTACCGCCACCCTATCATGATGTGCCAGTAGAGATGCCAGTTCCTGTATATGAAGCAGGACCATCTGATCCTAGCTGGGCTCGAGTGTCTTCGTTGATTCATCGGTATCTTCAGCAGGCTGTTGCTGAAGATGATGACCCACAGTTTGCAGATTTGTTCGAAGCTTTATCTATTGCTCGATCACAATGACTTGTATTTATATTTATAATTATATGTTAACTTTTAGACTCATTTGACCTAATTGTTTTATGTTTATGTGTTAACTTTTAGACTCATTTGATCTAGTTGGTTTATGTGTATGTTTTGAATGATTCACAATTCATGTTTTGAAATTAAAAATGAGTAACATAAGTCATTATTCATGTTTTGAAATTAAAAACGAGTAACATAAGTCATTATTCATGTTTTGAAATTAAAAACGAGTAACATAATTTATAATGTATAATGCGTTGGTAATATAGGCGTAAGTTGTTGCCAATGTTGTAGACGTCTTGCAAATCCTAGCATCCAAGATGTTGCTGCTGGAGAACGAAACTTCTTCCAATCTACTGTCACTGGTGGCAATGGAAACCCTTCTTTCATGTTTACCTAAATAAAAAAATAATCAAAATAGTAAGTAAAAATAACGAAAAAACTTAAGATTAATCGCATTATCTAAAAACAACTAAGTACCTGAACCCAATGATTTCTGTTTACAAAACCAATGCAGTAAATTGCTACATTTGGTGAAAATGAAGTTGTCATAGGGAAGAAAGTCCAGCATTCAATTCCTAAACAGACAAGTACAACATTATAACGATTCGTTATCACGTAACCCATATCTGGTAGAGTTAACCATTTATGTGGTGGTTGAGGACCGACTTCCTCTATCATCAAAGATTCTCTCACCACTGCTAACTGATCAGTGAATAAATTGGCATACAAACTTGATCTTTCGTTATGTATTATTTCCAAACCCAAGTCTCGACGAACCATTGCCCAACCATCTTCACCAAATCCATGCAATGAAGCAATGACTCTAAAACCACAATTACCATCTGATACAACATTAACTACATCATCAATATAGGATCGAATGTGATTAGGAAACTGAAGGATGAACTGCTTAGATGACTGTGAAGATTGTGATAATTTGATCTTCTTCGAAGCTTGTGATGGTTGAGATTTCTTTTGTGAAGACTGTGATAATTTAGTCTTCTTCGAAGTTTGTGATGGTTGAGATTGAGATGCTTGATCAACATATTCGTGATACGAAGGGTCTCTATAAACATCATATCCTACTGGTTTTTTGTCTTTTCTCTTGACTCCCCCTTTAGTTTTTATTTTCTCAGGTGGTGGACACATAGAAGTCATTGTTGGGAAGGCAAGTTCAAAAACCCTACTTTTTAATGCCCTTTTTCCAACAACATCCAGTGACTTAAACCTTTTCCATAACTCATCTATTGCACCACTCATATCCACCTCTGATCCATCGTCTACGTCTTCGTCCAAATTAACTTCCATACTTAGTTTTCTCCAATGAACATGTACAACCTCTATTGGTATCGGTATACCATCAATTCTATATCCTGTCAACTCACAAGCACAAGGTAATCTGTAGGTTGTTCTAAGAGTACAACGACACTTTTCCTTGTTAGTTCCAACATAATCAACTCGTTTTAACTCTTCAGCAATGCGTCTCAATGCATCTCGAGACACTGAACCACGTAAATTATTGTAAAATGGACTTACATGAGCGTGCTCAACTTCATAAAAACTCTTTTGAAAAGAAGCTCTAATATTACCCAATTGTAACTTTAAGTTGTCATTCATAGCCTCCCAACATTTGACCATGTCACCAATACTGTTCCCCAACATTTGCTTTAACTTCCAATGAGCAGACTCGACCCTAAAATTAATACATATTAAATATATTATAAAAAAATTAAAAAAAAAATACAATTTAGAAATACTAAAAACAAATACATACCGATTAGTCGTGGTGTTACCAAAATGTAGCAATCGATTAATCCATGCTTCAACAAATCTTTGTCTATGTGGTGTCAACCATGTGTCCTTCACATAATCAATAAATTCATTACAATCAACGCACGCCTGCTCAAGTTGTTTCAACGTTTGATCATACTCAACCTCATCACTAGCCCATACAACCTCCGTCCATAATTCGTCAATTTTCTTTTGCATGTCACTAGCCACATATTGTTTCCGTTTTGCACCAACATTCTTGTTAATATGATATCGACATAGCATATTGATCGACCTTGGAAATACAATTTCAATGGCTTTCATCCAAGCAAGATCTCTATCTGTCAAAATCACTTGTGGACACAACTCTTTTTTCACAAACAATTGTTTAAGCTTATCTAGCACCCAACAAAAATTCTCAGTTTGCTCAGACTCAATATAGGAAAATGCGACAGCAAAAGTCAACTCGGTTGATGTCATTCCAACAATTTCAAACAGAGGTTGCCTATATTTGTTTGTCTTGTAAGTGTTGTCCATAACTAGCACAGTAGGAAAAATATTCAACAACTTAACTGAATCTGGATGAGGCCAAAAGATATCTCTAATAACTTCAGAGTCATCTCTTTTTCTACTCCAATAAACATAACCTGCTTCCTCAATAAGCTTAAACAAATGTTGTATCTCACTTCTAGAACCTCTTATATTTTTTACTATCGTACTCTTCTGTTTGTATATTTGCGTGATCCGAGTGACATTATCTGGATCTTGCTCTTGCAATGAAAGCAGTATATGTCTAGGTGGAACCTTTCTCTTTGTCAAATCAATAACATGTTGCTTCTGATCTGCTGTCAACCTACCGACAAATGCGTGACCTTCTAATCTATCAGGTAAATCATGGTTATGAACTCCACATTTTACATCAATTTTCCATCCAGATCCCTCAGCCGCTGGAATTGATCTGATTCTAAATGGACATTCACATTTTTTCGTCGCACTCTGAGTTCCACTAACAATATCTCTGTGTTTTCCTCCTTTATCACATCCAAATATTAATTTGTTACTTCTTCCTCTCTTACCTGTTTTAATATCTGAACGAGTGATGATAACCGTAACTTTATTTCGGATTCCGATCTCTTTAATCCATCTTATCACCTCTTCTCGTGTATTAAATTTTTGAGTAGTTGAAAAAACATCAGACGTATCTACCCATATTTGATCTTTATCGCATATTTGTAAAGGAACTTCTGAACTTACATACATACATAAAAAAAATAATTTAAAAAAAAAATTCAAAAAAAAATTCAAAAAAAATGCCAATACAAACCGGAACACTTATAGAAAGAGTTCCGGTAGCCAAACTAGTCAAAAAACAAACCGGAAGACTTGTTACAAGAGTTCCGGTAGTCAAAATTTCAAACCGGAAGACTTGTTCCAAGTGTTCCGGTGATCACACGAAAATTCCAATACCGGATGTCTTTATTAAAGTGTTCCGGTATGAAAGAATATGCATACCCATTTGCGATTCTCAGAGTGTTCCGGTTGATTGGGGTCTATTCCTCAAAGTCTAAAAATTATAAAAAAATGAAAATAAAAATAATAAAATATTAAAATATATGAGGATAAAATGGGTATTTTTTTAAAAATGTAGGGGTGTGGGTACAAGTGTATGGGTATAGGGTAAAGCTTCCGGATATTGTTTGAGAATATTTTGACTCTAATTTGCAAGAGTGGATCAACTTGAATTTGAATTATGTCTTGAAGGAAGATAGTGTGTATCAGGCAGTGGCGCGTCATTCTCTCTAATTTTGGAGGAGTAAGGAGGAACACATGAGGAGTTTGAGAGGCCTATGAATCTCAGTGGCGTGTCATTCTCTCTAATTTTGGAGGAGTAAGGAGGAACACATTGAGGAGTTTGAGAGGCCTATGAATTTTAGACTGGTTGTGGAGGGGGGATGAAGGAGTTTGAGGAGGCTAAGATGCTAGATAAGAAGGTGGTTAGTAGAAATAAGAAGATTGTTCACATGATGTGGATTCCCCCTATGCCAGACATGGTAAAATTAAATGTGGATGGGACATGTATAGACAGGGTTGTTGCGGGATATGGGGAAATTATTAGAGATGATAAAGGATGTTGGATTGGAGGATTTGTTAAAAAAATTGGCTTTATGTAGTAGTTAGATGGCAGAGTTGGAAGGAGTGTTAGAGGGTTTGATTTTTACTTTGGATCTTGAAATCAACAGAGGGAAAGTGAATTTGGATGCTTCAGAGGTAGTTTTGAATTTGCAGCAAGGGAGGACTAGGCGTTTTGAAGACATGGAGATGTTAAGGAAGATTGAGAGTCTTTTGAGCAGATTTAAGTGTGCAACTGTTAAACATGTTTTTAGAGAAGTGAATCGTTGTTTGGATAAGCTGGTTAAAGCTGGTTGTCAGCTAGGTTCAAATATGAGTCATTATATTGTTGCTCCTAGTTTTATAGAGAGGTTATTATATGAGGATAAGGTAGAGTTTCATTCTTCCAGAGAGGTCTTTTTGTAGTTCTTTCTTTTTTGAGCCCTTTGATCCTCTCTTATTCCATATATATATATATATATATATATATATATATATATATATATATATATATATATATATATATATATATATATATATATATATATATATATATATATATATATATATATATATATATATATATATATATATATATATATATATATATATATATATATATATATATATATATATATATATATATATATATATATATATATATATATATATATATATATATATATATATATATATATATATATATATATATATATATATATATATATATATATATATATATATATATATATATATATATATATATATATATATATATATATATATATATATATATATATATATATATATATATATATATATATATATATATATATATATATATATATATATATATATATATATATATATATATATATATATATATATATATATATATTAAATAATAATGGTTTATGACTAGTGATGTTTGTACTTTTTGTTAATTGTTGTGAGTTCCTTGTATTTTTCTGTTGTGAGATGATAAGATAATAGGTTTTTTAGTTCAACAAATAGAGGCATTATTAGATGAATTAAGGTTAACTAAAATTGAAATGATTTTGAACTCAAATAATTTGAGGCGTTCATCTATAGGTTGTATGAATAAGTGTTGGTAATTTTCTATGGAGCATTTGTTTAAAAGTTTGGTAATTTCATAGGGAGCTGTTGTTTTAAGGTTGAGAAATTCAACCAAAATAATGTAGTAATCGCTAATTATTTTGTGAAAATATATGATTTTAAATTATATTAAATTATAATCATACAACTTCTTCTATTAAAGATGATGATCTTATTACAACAACATTTTATATTAGTGATATTGATAAAGAATAAACATGTTTGTTTGATAAAATTAAATTGTATTATGATTGTAGATATTTATTAATGTCTGAGACAATATGGAGAATTTTCGCTTGACATTAATTATAGAGAGAACCATTAATTAAAAGATTGTCTTTTTATTTGAAAAATAAACAAATTGTTATCTTATTTGATAATGAGAGAATTGAGCATGTGGTGAATAAAGAAAAATCTCAACATTCTAAATTTTAAGTATGGATGGATGCCAATAGAAAATAGAAAATGACCTGAATATAGTGGTTTTCCTTCTAAATTTGTTTGGAATCAATATGAACATCAATGGTGTTCCGTTCAGTAATAAGAAATGGATGTAATTGATAAAATGAGTATCTTAAACTAGCGGTGCTGACTTCCTTTGCGGAGGTATAGAGTGGACATGCATTATTAGCCCTCCAACACCCAAGTCAGTTCAAGATTCAAGATGAATATATTGAAAATGGAGATCAGAGAGAGTACCTTGTTTTCTAAATGGACTGACTTTACACCTTGAATCAAGTGGAATGAATTTGAGATGAATTGGGCCTTAGCTATTTGGACCTTTGGTCGGTCTAGTACAATTGTCCTCAATGCTTTGTCGGGCACTAAGTGAGTTGGGGAAGCCTTTAGTGATTCTGGTCGGCCTCCAAGATGTTGTTTGATATGAGCTGAAACTGAAACACTTGGAATATATTGAAAAGTAGTAGGGAACAAACACATTAAATGTATTCTTATCATTGAAATGTCTTGTTGCTATCTTCTAACATGTGTGTGATGCGACAAGTTAAGGCATGGCGTGGCTCCTACTATAGTTGAGTGCACTCGAGTTTGCACGTATCCCCAAGGAGAAATCCATCTGTCGATTTTGTAAACTCTTTTCTTTATCTAATTTGGGTCATCTAACTGTTCTTGCTAATATATAAGAGGAGTTGAGCATTTTGGAAACTTTTCACAATCCTTACTATAAAAATTCGTTTGTATTTACTATCTTAGTAAACGCCTTCGCTTCTTCTCCCTTGAGAATATCAATCGGGATGGTTGCAACTTTTTAATCAAAATCTCAATTTTCTTCACTCATTTTGCTTCTTCAATATCACACCTCAGGTGCCACCCTAACTCAAGTTTCCTCTTAAGCATTTATTGTTTTATAGTTAATATAAGTGATAATATAGTTAACTCAATTAGTGATTTTGAGAGTGAAACTTCTTCTGCCTTGAGAATATGGCATCCCCTAATTCTCATATCCCTTGTCTTTATCATGATCGCCAGGAACCAGAAGTCATATCTTTATTTGACGATTCTGACTCAGAAAGGGTATTTAGAAATTTTCTACAAGAAGGGGTTTCTTCATCAAACTCATTAGAAGGCCTTTTATTAAACATTGGTGAAAAGGTGAATCGTATTGAGGTCCATATTCCACCTCTCGTTTCAACCGAAAAGGAAATATAAGCCAACAACGAATGAGAGAACATGCTCGAAGTTTCATTCAACTTTACATAGAAAACAATAACTGTTAGTCCAATGATGTTGAAGTAAAGGGTCATACTCGACGATCATTCTAAGATTGACCATTTGGCTCGAAAAGGATTAATGTTAGTGGAGTAGACCAATGCAGTGAAGTATGGACGGATGAAGGCCGAGGTGGTAGGAACCCTATCTGTCTTAAACTCTGAAGCAATAATAGAGGCATTTGGCATCGTGTTCGACAATCCTCAGGACTGGTTGATTCTTCCTCTAGGTCCAGAGAAAAGGATATGCATCTCCTTTGATGACTACTCGATCTTTCTTTATGAGTGCTTATTCACAAGGATATGATTGCGGTTACCTTTCTATGACTTCGGAGTGGTCGTCATAAAACATGTAAAAGTTGCTCCTTCTCGTATTCATTTGAGGTTCTGGACTTACATGAGTGTATTCCAGCTGTGTGTCGAGCATAATTTTTTGAAGCCCTTGCTCAAATTATTTTTTAATATATTTTATTTAGTCCACACCTCTCGGGACGACTACCGCGGCCAAGGGGTTCATTAGTTCTCACACAGACAATCCTGTGGAACCTTATTTTGCAGGTTACTAATGTAAGCAGATCTAATGGAGATATGAATTTAATGATGACAACTACTTTTCACGATGACAACAAGTCACTAATGATAACAACTATAGTCAAGTGCAAAGCGATTAAAGATGCAAACCAGATTATTAGGGCTTGATGGGCTTGACTCTCTGATAATGGCAACCCAATGGAATATAGCTCAAGCCTCGTCTCAAAGTGAACACAAGCAAGTGTCTAAAAGAATGAAGCATCTGACAAGTCTTGAAGTATATGAAAGCTTCGACGCGTCTGAGTAAACATAATTTGTTGAAGCATAAGGGTGTTAGAACAAGATTTGGTTCTACAAGATATCTCTAAGTTTTGATAATAACAAAGTAGTATTTGTCCGAGAACAATTTTGGTATTCTAATGTTTGTTTTTCTGAAGAATTAACAAATAGGTTCTGACTTTGATAGAGAAAGCTCTGACTTTGATAAAGATCATATTCAACGATTACTCTGATCTGACCAAAGTCGCTTGTGTGCTATAAGAAGCAAGTCTGCTTCTTATCTACTCTCACTCAGAAAGATTCTAAGAAGACAATATGTTGATGCCACAAGGTTCTCTTGGTTTCTGCTTCTGATCATGACTCTGATACTTTACTTCTGAAGGTTTTCTAGCTTCTGAAGTCATTATCTTCTGAAGACTAAGTGCGGAAGACTCTGAAGACAAGGTTCTATTGAACAAAGTTCTGAAGACTTGAGTTTCTGAAGAATAAGTGTTGAAG